TATTGTTGTAAATTGCTCAACGTATAGTTTTTCTGATCCGATTGCACCAAAATCTCTGTGTCTTTCCAAAGTAGTTTTGAAGGTAACAACCATCCTAGACTTGGACTCGTTATCTGTTCGTCTCTTAATACACTTTCACGAAGAAAATATGCACCTAAATCATCTCCTGTATTAGATACATAAAAATGTGTATGTAAAGCATTATATCTCATAAAACAAGATAATAGTTGAAAACTTTTTATTATACTATTCAAGTTATCTGCTAATTTATCAATAATTCAACAATAATTGATTATTAATCATTGCAAGTGGACAAGATTATACAAATAAGATTGATACGCTTACCAATGGCAAATACTTTAATAGCCTTGACAGATCCTGCCCATACAGCACTAAGTGTGATAAAGGCATTTATGTATTTATCCTTCCATTTTTGACTTTGACGTTGTAACATTATAAGAGTCATAGGTCCACCCATGCTGTGAACCAGTAGCGTCACTGGCGTATTATTATTCATTATATACGTTTCTTCGACTAAAGTTTTCAATTTAGTAAAGAATTCTTCATTTTCGCCTGCAGTTTAAGGTCTTTATCTCGGTAAATTTGTAGTACAATTAAATAAAATAAATGATACTAAATGCTAGCATGTAATGCCTGTACAAAACAATTTATAGATATCATCTTTCTACATACTAGGTCCTTTTCTGAAATCATAAGGTGCACCACGTATCGATAAATTCCTGATGTATCCTAAATCGTTTACCAACATGTTTCCAATGTCCTTGAAATACGAGCCTGGTGAGGCCCTGCTGGGATCTATATATTCAACTACAAATGGATTACCCCATCCCGGTATCCTTATATCTACTCCAGGTTGATTGCTAGTGGTCCTTGTCACATTATCATAATTCAATTTAAGATTATCTATCTGTAATAGGATTAAAAATTACTTTCAAATTATTCAGCTAGAAAAAGACTAGAGCTATGCATGATAAATCAAAATGATCGTACAAAGCAATCTATCACGACAGGTACAAGCAGTTCCATGTTCAGCCACAAGTTAAAATAATCGTTGGATATTTTCGCGCAGATATAATGCACCACTGATGACTTGTTAATCCTTGCCTCGACCTGACTGCCGCCATCACCTGGAACTGGAATATCATTTTCCTTCGTAAGTAGACGCGCTCTTTGCAACATCTCAATAAGTTGATATCTTTGAAGTTCTATGACACTACGATAAGAGTCACATCATCAAAGGAGAGAATCATACAAAGCGGCACTTCAGAGCCGTTTCGAGCCCTAAAGTGCAGACAGAAAGGACATGATAACTTTCGGCGAGTAAACGCTTTCAAAAATATCTTATACACACATCACAGACTTCTAAGGAATATCCTAAAGATATCCACAGGATGTCTCTATCCTTCCTGAACATCTTAAGGATACTAAGATGTCTCAGATAAAATATGATGTGTATGGACAATAATAAAACGCTTTTTTGACTTACCCAAAATAATGGGCGATATTTGTTTAGTTTTGGCGTGCCAGGATCTCACCAGTTGCATAGTGAGTGAGAGAACAATTATCACGCTCAGGAGAGCTGCCAGGCGCATTGTTTGTTCGCAGCTACGATAAAACGAGGCGGATTTTCACAGGAAAGAAATACGTATATCTTGGAAATTAAATGAACTTGATTATTCAATGAACAATTTCTTTTCCGTCTCCTCCTGATCTAACAAAACAGAAATATCCTATGCTCGTCACTGTTTGTTTGCTCCAGTTTCGATAATCAGCTGATATCGCCTCATGCGTCGAAGTAGATGACATTTGTGATCAGCGACAGCCAATTGAAGTGACGGACGAGGACAAAAAGTATTAGGGAATTCGCACAATAAAAGGAATAGGAAATAGAGAACAGAAAATAAGAATTTTAATCTATCAGAAATCATGTTTTGTGGAATACATAGTTTCTGATAGGTTGAAATTATTATTCTCTGTTCTCTGTTCCCTATTCCTTTTATTGTGCGGAGCCCCTTATTCTATTGGCATCTTTCGTAAGCATTGTTCTGATCGATCGTTATTGCCTCTTGTATTTGCGTATTTGAAAAACATGTTATTAGACGGAGCGATTTAAATTATCGATAAACGCAAGTTTAATGACGTTAAAGAAGAAAAGAGTAAACACGAATTTCGTTGTTGCAATTACGTAAACAGATTTACGTTTCAGATTAGATTTTATTATTCTTTTTTCCGAAATGCTTTGTTTTGTGTAAAATAAAATGTACAAGGACATAAAAGTTGAAACAAACAGATTTATGGTCAGTTTATAGTTCCATTGCCGATTTTGCAATAAGCATCAATTACGTCAGAAGTCAATCAAACAAGTCAAAGACAAACAAGTTTGAATACGGAGCATAAAATATGATTCATCAATCATATGACTATAAATTGACTCGTATAGAAGACTCGTATATGTCACGTTTTAAATTGCCTTCGTCAGCATATATTTGTTCTCATTATTTAAGGTTAATTTAAAAATAAGCTCTAGTTTCTTTATAATGTATACACATGACAAGCAGTTTTTTTTCTTATTTGTAAATCTACATAAATCTACACGTGTCACACGTTGGCAAAATAAAAATCAAGAGTAACAAAAATATAAACAAAATTTTTTTAGGAAATTTTTAGTATATTTATTTATTTGACTTTTAAATGTAAATTTTTATTTTTTCGTCCACATGATTAAAACTCCTACAGCACAAAAAAGTTGCTGCAAATTCTATGCTGTATATTAGGAAGTAGAGATAAAAAATCTGAGTAAAAAATTGAGTAAAAATCAATTCTTTACTTTCTCAAACAGAACAAGTCAAATAATAATGTCAAAATATTAAAATAAATTGAAAATGATAATAAATTGAAAAATGATTTTTAATAATTATTTTGGAATTATTTTGATATCATTGATAATATGATCATTGATATCATTGATATCATGATAATAATTGTTCTGCTTAGATTTAGTCTTGAAAATTATTTACTTCGAGTTATTTTCTTTAGATATATGGTGACATATATTATTATATGTTATTCTAAAATTAATTTAAAGTTTTTGCATTCATCCGAAAGATTTTTGTGCAAAAATAGTTGTAAACAATGAAAATATAGTACAATAACTAAGCCTATAGCTACGAGTATTATCTATTTTCGGAGTTCTGATAAAAAATTTTTTTTTTATTGTACAAATTAATGTTCAATTTGCTAAGTTTTTATTTCTAATTGCAAGCAAAAATCTTGATTTTTTAAAAAAATTTCTAATTAAAGGAAAAAGTTGCAATAAAATTTGTGCAATAGAAAAGACAACATTTGAAAATTCATTTCCAGGTTTCATATCATTCATTATCGGTGTCTCGTCAACGTCGGGGATCGAACGAGTACATTGTTAGATCAATTGACGGTGCTTAGCACCGATCGACACTAAAGACTGCGAGTGAGCACACAGTGGGTAAATAACTAGATACGGCGTCGTCGCACGCGTCTGCTCGGGAAGATCCATTGCGTTGGACCGGACGAGCCGAGCTTTAATCCTCGTTTCCTCCCCCTCCGGTTAAAGCATCGAGGATGGCCGATGTCAAACAGGATCACAAAGGCGAGGACGTTGACAGCTATGGGATGGGCAACAGCGCTGACCCGAAGAACATGCAGGAGCTGACGCAATACGTGAGTCCGCGTATTTACGCACAGGATGACGGTGACGCATCCAGGGACGATCCGTCGCGATGCGACCCTGACGCTACGTTGACTCCTTTACAGGTGCAAACGCTGTTGCAGAACATGCAGGATAAGTTTCAAACCATGTCTGACCAGATCATAGGAAGAAATATCCTTTTTTTTCTGTTTAACCTAAAACGGTGCTGCAAGCTGTTGAAGCGGCAAAATTTGTGGAAAAATCTGTGTTGACATTTTATCATGTAACAGGGCTTGTTTCTATTAGTGCACGTCAAGTTTTTTGCTGTATTGCCAAGTAGTTTATTTATCTCTGAACGTAAGTAGTAAAAAACATATAACTGTTTTTTTTTATTATTAATTTTGTCGAGTCATGCTTCTGTTTCAATAATTAGGAAGGAAACTTTGTGTCTATATAACTTTAAAGTTTTATTGGCATATGCTTTTATATTCCAATTAGTTGTTTATAAGAGATTAATAAAATTTCTCTATTTTTTTTAGCTGAATTTCTTGCATGGTTCATCTCCTTTTTTTTCATGTTGAAAAAAAAAGAAAAAAACGAGCCACTCAAGAAAGTCACAAAAGTTTAGGTAAAAAGAACCTGATATATGTATTGTTTGTATATAAATATCCTCAACTATATTAATTTTTTAACTGTATTCAAGACTATCCTTTATTTGATTATTAATTGAATTAAATATTATACAAGTGAACTATATTCACTTATTTATTATAGTATTATTCATAAAAGTTAACGTATGTTTATTTATAGTATTAATAGTTGTTACAAATATATAATTATTATAAGATCCTTAATAAGAAATACTAGATGAAATGGGTAACAGAATAGACGACCTGGAAAAGAATATCGCAGACCTAATGACACAAGCAGGAGTCGAAGGAGGTGATAAATAAGCTCATTCTTTCTTCAATGCACTCATCTATAAGTAACAACTTATCTAAAGTATCTAATAAAGTATTGCTGTACTTTATTGTCATGGAAAAAAAATGTATACAGATAGTGAGATAACCATCCTTTTGTTACAATACAAAAAATAAACTTACACTTTTTTAGAAATATATTTTGATATTATTTCAATTCTCGTTTCAGATAACTGAGATATCGACTAAACCAATATAATAATTAGGTTACTTAACTTCAATGGAATGTTGGTTACATTGATTCTTATATATTATCTTTATCTCAATGTTTCTCTTATCTCTTTAAAACAATATTGTGCATACAAGGACGCTTAAATTAATACAAATAAGCAAGTGTAAGAAAATGTTTACTTTGTTTGATTCAATCTGTAAGGTATGCGATATATTATAGATGACATTAAAGACTTCTGACATGTAGGAATTGCTGGGACGGGTCTGAGAATGAAGTGTTTCTTTACTTTGTATCCAGTGTGTTTTGATACTCTTTTCTAAAAAGATAAAAATGCAAAATATTAAAAGAATGATTGAAATTACATAGATTTCTGCCTAGTTCTCACAGGCTTCTCTCGAATTGATTCTGATTCCGTTTCTTCTGTGCTATCTGGATATTCTTCAACTTGAACCGACTCTGAAGAATTTGTGTACGCAGTTCGTATAGAATCCTAAAACTTGCCACATTAGAATCCAAAATTAAAACTATAGAGCAATATGTTCAAATAATATTTTGCACCTACAGCAGATTCGGTTCCTCGATTAGCTAATTTCTGTGACGCCAAGGGCGAAGATGCGAATCGAGTGGCTAAGTTCGTTAACGAGTAAGCCTGTCGAAATGAAGTTCTGCCCACCGTGTCTAATCTTGCAACAGAATCGGGAACTCGTAATGTGTCTCGAAATTCCTAAATACAGAAGTAATACTTTATTTGAATAATGATTACAAAATTGCATCAGCATTTAACAGTAAAGTTAATATTGAAATGTCAAGTCTTTCTCATTCATAACAAAATAAAATCATAACAAAATATCAATTTAAAGCAAGTTTACCCCGTTCATTTCTCCTCTCGCATTTTGAAAGTCCTGCATGTTAAAGGATGAACAATATTGACCACCATATTTTGTAAATATAATTCTTTCTTAACTTTAACCAGAGACACAATTTAGAAAAAAATTAAAATGATCTTCTATCTCACCTCAATATCTTTAACTTCGTCAATAGCTGCAACATCTTGATATGCTTTGGTCAGAAGCTCGAGGGCTTTTGTATGAAAGCTCAATTCGACAGTGACAAAATCTAAAAGTATAGATTTCAAATCGTGCAACTTTCGTCGTTCGAATGAGTCGATTTGTTCCTCCAGACCTTTTACCACTCGGGATACTTCGATGGACGCTTTCGTTAGCTCCGACTCAGCTTGAGACTAATATTCTTTTTCAGTTAAAGATTTATAATATAACAAGATATTCTTGAAACTAATTATATCACTTTAAAATTACTTTATTAATATTTTTTTTATTAATATTTTATTAATATTAATATCTTGTTCTTAATTATTAATTTAACATTTTGCTTCATTATTATGAAAGATATAGAATTAATTAAGTTATAATTAAAATTAACTAATGTTAAATTTTTAATTATAAGGATACTATCATTTGACGATTTCTGGGATTTCTTTCTCGAACTTTGTCCAAATGTCTTCGTCTTGTAAGTTCTCTGTCGCGTGCTGCAAATGTGTTTTTTACATCATCGCGGGCATGTTTGCAAATTATTGCATATTGCGAAAGAGGTACAATCACTTTGGAATCCAATCTTTGTACTTCCGCATCTCTGTAGAGCAGATCAATAATGTTAAAAGTATAAATCAAAATAATGTTGAAGCAAAAAATAAAACGTAATGCAATTAAAATAGCACAGATAAATCAAATGGAAATTATTTAAAAATTTTCTAATAATTTTTCGCAGTCGAGGAATAAAAAGCTGATTTAATAGAAAAAAATAAAGACTTTTATAAATTTTATTATTAATGAAAATAGCAACTATAATTTTTAATTTTTTATATTTTTTATTGTCAATACTAAACGTAAAAATTATTTACAAAAAAGTTAGTATTTTTTATGCATTATGAAGAAAACGTAATTATTTGAAACAAAATCTAGTTTTACGTTTTACCTATAATCACCGATGACTGATAATGTTGCAGAAAAATTTGCTAGTCCGGCGCTCATTGATCGATTTATAACTTCAGAATCTGCATAAGTTTGTATTATTTTAGCCACTTCATCGCTTTTATCACGCAATCTGAAAAAATAAATTAGTAAATAGCGAACGAAACGGAGCACATCGTTGTAAAAACAATAGGGAATAAGAATATGTCACTAAGGAAAAATAATCGATATGATTTGTTGGTCGGAGGAGCACCTGGCAGCTTTTCTGGTGAACGCCGCGAATATTGAGCACAGCTCGGCGAAGTATTTTTCCACGCCAGTTATGCGATCTTGTACAAACTTCGCTTCTTGCTCACTAATAAAAAAATATTTACATTTAATTTAAGGTTTGTTTATGATTTGCTCATGATGTCAAATGGCGACATAAAAATAAATCACATGTTTTCAGTTTAACTTACTACAAGCTGCTTTGAGAACGTGATCGAAGCATCTTTTTATTAAGTGTTCTTTAAAAAATCTTTAAAAAATAATTCAACGAACTGTTTTACGTCAAATTTCTTTGCCGCAGAATTATCTCGCGAAGCGTAGAAAACATGTTCTTTGTTTCCTTTCCAATATGCTTCGTTGACAGTTGCCTACTGGCAGGTGGTAAATTGCCGCAGGCAGTTGTGAAGTTATACGTGTATTTTCTATACTGTCTTCGAGCTAACTATGCAGGGGGGTTGATTACGAATTTCTGATTATCTTATGAAAGATGGTTCTATCTGACCTATTTATTATAACTTTTTTTATGTTCTATTTCGCGATAATACAATCATTTTTATTATTCTCTTAATAAAGATTTGTGCATTTCATAACTTCTGTTTTGTCTATATAAAACAAAATCAGATTGCTTTTATGCATTTACATAAGTTGGATTATTTTATCTTTCGGTAAACTTTAGCTATCTTATTCTTTTATGCTGCTATTCTTTTGTTTTTTCAGTAATAGATAAATTACCGTATAGTTTATCCGAAGATGGAATAATTAGCCCCTAATTTTTATATTAGAAAAATAAAACTAACAGTTAAATCATGTAAAAATATTATTTTTATGCATTTATATTAAATTTTTATATTAGAAAATGAAACTTACGTTATATCTACTGTATATAAAATGTGGAAAATGTGGAAAATGAATAAGGAATTTTACATTATTGATTTTACTTATCTTTGCTTTATAATACTGCAATAAAATAACGAATTGATCAGCAATGTCAAGATATATTTATAAAAATACTTTATTGCAGGTATACGATTTAATATTTAATAAATAACAAATTTATACAATAATTATACAATAATATAATATCGCAATTAGCTAATGTCTTTTAGCACAGCGAATGAATGTCCTGCGCCAGTACCCACGAGAATGACAACGGAATTAGATGGCACTGAAAGAAATTCTGGCCGTAAAACATTCTCCGTTTTTCCGTTACCACAGTTTCCATGCTCGTTCCAACCCCAGCACAGCACTGCTCCATTATCTATAATTAAATTATTTATTATAATATATATAATATAATAAAATAAATTCCCAATTACATAAAATTGTAATTATTTGACATGTCTTTTATTTCTTTAGCATTTATACATTTTATCACATATAATAATTTACCGGTTAAAGCAACATTATGCTCCGATCCAACTGAAAGTTGAATGATTTTCGGAATATTTTCTATACACTGAAGTCTCTCTTCCGTAGAAATTTCATTTTGTGATTTCAATAAAAAACGGCCTAATTGACCATAGTCGTTTCTTCCCCACGAAAAAATAATACCATCTGAAATTATATGTACATTTTAATATGTATATAAAAGGTTTAATATATGTAGCAAAAACACAAAGTGAATTTAGTTTGTTTACTGCTCAAGATATTTATGTGACTCCAGCCTGTATGAATTTGAATTGGTGTATCATGTTGTATGTTTGAGAGAGGAATACATAGAGGTTGCGATATTCGTGTTTCAGAAAATGTTTTAGAAAAAAATCCCAGCTGTCCGTGCTTGTTATCACCAAAGACATATATATTATATGTTTGTCTTTTTGTTAGGACTATAGTATGATATTGACCACAGATAACATTTTCCACGTTTCCTTGCATTGCCCGTTCTGCAACTGTTCACCTATGTTTTAATTAAGTGGAAATATTTTCATAATAAATTTTTTTTTATAATAAAATGTATTTTCAATAAAACAGTTATCGGCGTGACTATTTAAGTAACAAATGATAAAATAAATGATATAAAGTGTGTAAAATTCAACCTAGAAGAGTGATAAGTAAATATTGAAACTATAAATATTGAAACTATAAACTATAAAATAATAATATAAAAAACTATAAAAATAATAATATAAAAAATAATAAAAACATATATTAATAAATATTCGAAGAAATTTAATATCTTTAGAATTTTTTAATTCATACATTCATTTTTACAGAATAAAAATTATTCAAAATATGATTTATTATATACCTTTGGTGAATATACCAAGAAGAGTATAAGGTTTCATGGTTTCTGGATTAATCAAACCCAATTGTCCTCTATTATTTGATCCACAAACATAGAGTTCATGATTCTCTGTTACTATGGCGGTGTGTCGCAGACCCATTGAAACATTCTTTATTTTCTTGTCAAATGAAATTTTGCGGGGATGAGATATTGAAGGAAAAACTGAAGGATCCAAACCTAATTGTCCATAACGATTGGAACCCCATACATATAATTCGTCATTCCTTGTTAATGCCATGGAACTGTCCCATCCACAGCAAATATCAATCACTACTTCATGTTCAAGAGCACATATCCTTTGAAATATCAGAATATTTTCTTGCTCAATGTTGATGTTTCCAGCTTGTCCTTTGTTGTTCAAACCACAGGAATAAACATGACCATTCGTATCTAAAATCAATGTGTGTCCAGCACCACCAACAATTTTCCTGATGAGTTCTGGCTTTAAGGAACATCTAGATAAATCAACTTCTTGAGGTAGAACAAATTGCTCAGATAATAAACCTTGTCCAAGTTGACCATGGGAATTTGCACCCTGTAAAAGATATATATGCTCATAATATTAATTTTTCGAATTTTTTATAAATCTGCTATAGAGTTATATTTTGAAAGTTGAAATTTTTGCTTTCACTCAGACATATACATATATTCAGAAAATCCACAATGTGTACACGCACAATAGAAGTTCTCGTTAACATGACATAACAAAAGTTTGGATATTTTATAATTATAATTATAATTATAATTATCTTACCCATGAAATCAGACGATACGTAAACATTATATTTGAATTATATTCTTTATTAAATATTTTCTTTCTTATAATTCAGAATATATTTCTTTGTATTACTCCACATCCGCATATTTACAAAATGCGACAAAATGCGTCATTTGGAAAAGGCAAGTACTCATGAAAAATCACCAATTACACAATTTAGCGTAAAAGTCTTTCTTGGTCGATGAAATATCCAATACAATATTTTGCTAAATGTCTTGTTATTTAGCAAAAATAATATACTATTTTTTTGTTTACACATTTAAATGATTTTATATGCAACAGCCTTTAGTAAGTGCACGAATTTTGGATTAGATATATGTGTATATATATATATGTATGTATATGATGTAAACAAACATGCCGGCATACAAGCAAGCCACATTAAGAAATATAGATTAATTAAATAAGAATTTTTTTCTGACTGTGTAACATTAAATGCTATTATTTTTGTAAGTGACGTAACGTAGAAGATCAATTAAGCTGAGCAAAATGCAGGAATCCGTGAAGTTCAATCTTAAAGAGGTTAAATCGGATCTTCTGCATGCGATACACGAATGCTCCCAGCGCGGTTTGCTACACACTACTAAATGGTGAATTTTTGCTTGAATAAATGTATTACAGTCCCTTTATGCGTACACTTTTAGGATTCTACATTTATGTCTCTTTGTTATAGGTTAGCGGAATTAAATTATTCTTTGAAAAATATAGATATAGATGATTTGACTATACATGCCAAAGTACCAGAGGTCAGCGAAGCAGAGGATATCTATACCTTAGCTAAAACATACTTTGATCTAAAGGAATACGATAGAGCGGCTTATTTCACAATGGACTGTGTAAGTCCTAAGATTAGATTTTTACATTTATATTCACGTTATTTATCAGGGGAGAAAAAGAAGATAGATGATATGACGGATGTTCCGCCAGATCCTCTGAAAAACGAGACTCTAAAGTATCTTTGTGCTGATCTAAGGTCAGATCATTTGGCATCAAAACTAGATGGTTATGGATTATATCTTTTTGGTGTAACATTGAAAAAGCTGCAACTCATTAGAGAAGCTACAGACGTTCTAGTGGAATCTATTCATAAGGAGCCTATGCATTGGGGTGCATGGTTAGAACTGGCTGCTTTAATCACAGATAGGGAGAAGTTGGAGAGCTTATGCCTTCCTAATCATTGGATGAAATATTTCTTTATGGCACACATGTACTTAGAATTACAGCTCATAGATGAAGGTTTAGCGTTATATTGTCAATTGCAATCGATGGGTTTTCAGAAAAATGGTTATGTTTTAGCTCAAACTGCAATTGCAGTGCATTATAGAAGAGGCAAGTTAGCGAATTCAGTATTTAGAATAAACAACTGTTTATAATCTTTATTGAAATATTTTAAATCAATTTTCTTTCTTGGTTATATAAATTAATTTTAGAATTTAGTTAAATCTATCATGCATATTCATAATTATTTGAAATATATTTTCTTCTAAATAATATCTTCTAATAATAAGCAATAAGTTGCTTGAATATCATGTTATAAAAACATTTTTTATTTTAGATGTTGATAATGCAATAGAAACTTTCAAAAGAATAATAGATGAAGATCCATATTGCCTTGATAACATGGACACATATTCGAATTTACTTTATGTGAAAGAAATGAAAGTTGAATTAGCAGATTTGGCGCACAGGGCTACTGAGATAGATAAATACAGATTAGAGACTTGTTGTATAGTTGGTACGTATTAATTGTGCATCTCTTTAAAAAGCATAATTTCATATTTAAGGAAAATATACTTTTAAGAAATATTTTTAAAATGATGTCTCTTTTAGGAAATTATTACAGTTTAAGAGCGGATCATCAAAAAGCAGTGATGTATTTTCATAGAGCATTAAAAATGAATCCTCAATATTTATCAGCTTGGACATTGTTAGGTCATGAATTTATGGAAATGAAAAATACTAATGGTGCTATTCATAGTTATAGACAAGCAATTGGTAAATTCTTTGCACATTTTTTTGTTTGCATCCGCAACATATTACATTTTTCATTTATATTTTTCAACTTGCTAGAGGTGAACAGACGAGATTATAGAGCATGGTATGGTTTGGGTCAGACATACGAAATCTTGAAAATGCCATTTTATGGGTTATATTATTATAAACAAGCACAGCTTTTAAGGCCCCATGATAGTAGAATGGTTCTAGCCTTGGGCGAAGCATATGAAAAACAGGATAAAATTCAAGATGCACTCAAATGTTATTACAAGGCATGCAATGTAGGCGATATAGAAGGAATGGCACTTTTAAAATTAGCAACGTATGTATCCGATATGTAATATCGAAATGATAGAAATAATATATGTATATTTTTTTATTTTGCTACAGACTGTATGAGAAATTAGGAGAACACGATCATGCAGCGGCAGCTTATACAGATTTTGTAATGGATGAATTTCGAAGTGTCGATAGAACAGAACTGAGTCACGCATATAAATATCTCACGCAGTATCACTTAAAGAAGGAACAATTGGATCAAGCTAATCATTATGCACAGAAGTGCCTTCAGTTTGATGAAACAAAAGAGGAAGCAAAAGTGCTATTACGAACTATCGCTGAAAAAAGAGTGAAAGTAGAAGAAACTTCTATGGTGGTAAGTAATATTATTTAATAGTAAAAATAATTAGCAAAATAATTAAATTTCGTTTTTTTAGGTGGATGATATGAATGAAACGGATCCTGTGATTGAGCAAAGAGTGCGAACGACGGATGCAACACCTGGAAGTCAACTATCGCCAATGAATCTTTCGTTCACCCCTACACCATAAATAAAATGGATATTTTCCGTTCAGTATATAATTTTAAAATGCTTATAATTCTGTACATAAATACAAAAGATTCATTTTTTGTATATTTTTTATATATTTTTGTAATAAATTTTTTTTCTCTAACGGTAATAAACGATTAAAAATTCTTGTATTAAGTGCAAGTGGTTGTAATTATTGGATAGCATATGTATATATATATATATA